GAGCTTTTCTTGATAATGACATAATGTGTCAACTAATATCTAAATAATATATAACATGTCACAACGGTGACAATATTGATATTTGATAATTTAACTGAATAAAACTGGCTTAATTTGATTAAATAATTTATATTAAACTAAGTAAATCATTAGTTAAATATTATCAAAATCATATAATAAAATAGAAATTTTCAGCAATAACCTATTGTTAAAAAAATCAAGCCAGAATTTGAATATACAAGCACTTGACTCTAAACATGTCATAAAAGAATTTTTTAATGAATATATTTAATACAAGAGTTAATGAAAAATTAGAAAACAAATTTTGTTTCAAAATAAATTTTGCTTGCATAATACAAATATTCGATAATATTCTAGTTATAACAAATAAAATATATAGTGCATGTGATAATAAATTAATCTAATCAATAAGAATGCGCAAAATTCTGCATAACCAATAGGAATATAGCAAATTTTTGATCAATCTGACCAGTACAAGAAAATGAAAAAAGATAAAAAATGCAAAAAAACAAAAAATACAAAAATAGATATCTAAATCTAGCTTTGCGCACTATCAAAAAATATTAGGAAAACAAATCTACATAAGATAGCCTGCTCTATTTTCATGCACTTTTTATTGTTACATATAAAATATTTTATATAATTAATATTTTTTTTATAAAATTTGTATATCAAATCTATAAAAATTTTTATATAAAAAAAAATAAATAATAAAAAAATAAAATTAATATAAAATTTATATACTGTTCTATTTCCGTGCATTTATATGTTTTGTAATTATATACTTAATCAAATTTCGATTTTATTTATATTATAATTACAAATATATCTAAAATAAGATATTGAGTACGCGAAAATAGGTGCATGTACAGAAATAGGCTATTTTATAATCTTGATTTTAGCTCTAATTCCCTAATAATTGATATCTAATATTAATCAGATATTTTAACGGACTGTTCAGATCACGTGCACCGTACTGGCTAGTGTTCTAAGGAAGATCATGGAACTTCAGCATACATGATTTAATCGTACAACCCACTGATTGTTATGTATGGCACGCCATATAACGTTAACCAGTTAGCCAGTTAGGATCACAAATGACGACACGCGTTATTTTTTTAATAACTTTTTAGAATACTTCAATTCTCACCACAAAAAGTAACTGACATGGACAAAAAATTTCTGACACATGAAATAACATCTATTAATAAAACGCGAAAAGATTATTCAAAAACTTCGAATGCCCCACATTTTAAATCCTCGTTTGAAAATGTTCTAGCTAGCCTTCAGGAAAATGAGGATCTGGAAAACAGCACAAATATCAGTATGTATCACTTTCATATATAAGTGAATTACGAAAAATGTTTTAAATGCTTACTAAATCAACATTATAAAAGAGGTGCGACGTCAACAGAAATGGTCTCGCCCTAAATTGCCTGATATAAATCCTGTTCAGGACCATATAAGTAAGAGTGAATATTGCTTTATTATTCTCGAATTTTTTGTCAAATACTTTCTTTTTCTTTTAGTATTTCAACAAATTGAAGTTGATGAATACAATGATTTGAGTATGAGGAGACCGATTGTCCGCTTATACGGAGTTACTGAGGTGTTTATAAGGACAAAACTTCCGTTTTTTATTTATGTATTAACAATTATATAAACTATTAAGCGAGGAAATAGTGTTCTCTGTCATGTATCAGGCTTTTTGCCATATTTTTATATTCCAGCACCTGTTGGTTTTAAAGACAATGATGTGTCACATTTTCAGAGAAGTCTCGAGGTAAGACGAATAATAATTTTAAAGATATGCATGGTCTACATGTCTTATGATCTTATATCTTATTATTCGTAAATTAGCAAATTCTCAGTGCTGGAAATAAAGTATTCAGGATTGAAATAATGATGAAAGAGAGTATATGGGGATATCATGGCAATCAGAAAAACCCTTTTCTTAAACTTACCTTTAACGACTCTAGAGCATTGTCACAAGCAAAAAATATCCTTTGTTTATATTTAATTGTGAATTCTGTTCCTTGATTTATGTGAGTTATTATGACTTGACTTCAAAACACGCTTCATTGAAAACGGGACTTTTCATTATGACGGGCTTAGAAACTTAACGTTCGAAAGTAACATCGCATATATAATGCGATTTATGATTGATAATAAGGTTTCCTAAGCTTTCTTTCATGCTATTATGATGATGATGATGATGTATTAATTTAACTCGTATTTCAAAGATAACTGGTGCAAATTGGATTGAATTACCTGCAAAAAGTTATATAATTTTGGCCGAAACTCGGAAAACCTCTAATTGTCAACTTGAAGTAGAGATCAGGTATAATGAAAAAGTTTTACTTGTAATAGAAAAGATAACTAACTTACTTATATATAAATGTTTTCCATTTATGATTCAAGACATGAAAACCTCATAAGTCATGCACCCGATAGTGAATGGTCAAAAATTGCACCGCTTCGAATTCTTAGTTTTGACATTGAATGTGCTGGTAGGAAAGGTTCATTTCCCGAAGCTAGTATTGACCCGGTCATACAAATCGCCAATACTGTCACTATTCAAGGTTAATTTATTAAATGTAAAGATCCAGTTTTGTTTCTAAATAATTTTTTTTATTAATAAAGTATTTATTTATTATTTAATTATTAAGGCGAGAATAAGCCTTTTATTCGTAATGTTTTCACTTTAGACACTTGTGCTCCTATTGTCGCTACCGATATAATTGAAAATGTTAATGAAGTTCAATTGTTAAAAAGCTGGCGTGATTTTGTAATTCAAGTAAATATGCAATTGATTAATTAATTGATTGATTCTTTACTCATTACATTAAATAAAAAAACCATATTTATTATTAGGTTGATCCGGATGTAATAATCGGTTATAATATTGCAAATTTCGATTTGCCATATTTACTTGATCGTGCTCATCACCTTAAAGAATTAAGTTTTCCGTTTCTCGGGCGGATTTCCAGTATGTCTTTTGTCATACAAATTTGTTTTATTCACGTACTATCATCT